GAGATTACAGGGAAAGAGAGCAGGAGCTGTTCTGGGCTCAGCATGAAGGAGTCAAGACCAGGATCCTGAGTGGATGGTGGAGAGTTAGTCTGGGGCCAAAGTAGAGACGGAGGGACAGAGGCATGAAAGAAGGCAGCTCTGTGCTCAGAAAGGTGACGAGTATTCAAATCTGTTTAAAAAGACCCTCAAAGCCCAAGTTTCCTGCCATCCCAGACTGAAAAGTCACCTACAGTCAGGAGAAGAGATGCCCACAGAGTCCCTGGAAGGACTGTGGACACTGACCTCAGTCCCTCCCCACTTATAAGGACAGGGCTCCCCACATGCAAATTTCTCTTCAAGCTCTAGAGTAAAATCCACTCTTGGGATGTGAGAGCTCACAGCTCTCTCCTTAGACAGGGCTGAGTCTCTGGGGAAGGCAGAGCTGTGGGCTAGAAGAAGATGAGACTGTTGGGTCTTCTACTTTGCCTGGTGACGGCTCCCCAAGGTGAGTGTCTCAGGTGTCAGACCTGGGTCTGTGCGGATGGTTGTGCTGCACGTGACAGACAGGGACTGATTCTCCTTCTCCCCAGGTGTCCTGTCCCAGGTGCAGCTGCAGGAGTCAGGCCCAGGACTGGTGAAGCCCTCGCAGACCCTCTCCCTCACCTGTACTGTCTCTGGATCCTCCATCACAAGCAGCAGTTATGGTTGGAGCTGGATTCGCCAGCCAAAAGGGAAGGGCCTGGAGTATGTGGGGTCCATAAGCTATGGCGATAGCACTTACTACAACCCATCCCTCAAGAGCCGCACCTCCATCTCCGGAGACACGTCCAAGAACCAGTTCTCCCTACAGCTGAGGTCTGTGACCACTGAGGACACGGCCGTGTATTACTGTGCGAGATACACAGTGAGAGGAAGTCAGTGTGAGCCCAGACACAAACCTCCCTGCACGGAGACAGGAGGCAGTCAGAACATCAGAGGGCGCTCAGGACCCATGGAGAACGAAGGAGGACAGGCTCAGAAGCAGGTGCAGGGAGGGAATGGGGAGGAGATTCCTGTTGTGATCAGGGATTTCCTCTCCACTCAACCTCTCAGCAGCCTCCGGGAGCAGGTCTAGCTTTGTTCTTTGTGGGTCCAATTTTCACATTCTCACTGCAGGTGAGAGAGGAGGGAGTATATTTCTTTGTTTACAAATGAGTTGCGACCAGTCACTAGGGCCTTTTCTTCACTGACTTTCTATATGACTTATTTGTCCATTTTGACAAACAAAATATCCTAGGGACTCTCATCATCCCTTGATCTGTGTTCTTGACTGAATTGGGTCCCACACCCAAATGTGTATATTGAAGCCTGAATCCCCAATGTGACTGCATTTCGAGATAAAGCCTTTAAAGAGATAAACAAAGCTAAAAACCCTCATGAGATCAGGGTCCTAATTTGATAAGACTGTTGTCCATACAAGCAGAGGAAGAGACACAAGATCTCTCTCTCTCTCTTTCCACCTGCACAAAGAGGAAAGTCCCTGTGAGGACACCACAAGAAGGCAGCCATCCACACACCAGGGAGAAAGGTCTCACCAGACTCCAACCCTGCCAGGACGTTGGCTTGGAACTTCAGCCTCCAGAACTGCGAGAAGATAAATGATGTTCCAGCCACTGGGTCTGTGGTGTATTGCTAGGGCGGCCTGAGCTGATTAATACAATTGGGAAAGATCTTCCCCAAACGCCAGCTCAGTTCAGACACACAGTGTCCCTACTGGGCCTCTTCAGTCAGACAGGCAAATATCTGTCCCCAGGAAGTTATGAGAGAACAAAGCATAAAGCTAGTCTCAGTGCACTACACCCAAGAAATGAGGGTCAAGGTCAGAAAAAAAATCATGGCCACGGGGACAAATGTTGCATGGGAAGACAAGCAATTCCAGGCCCTTTCTTATTAATGTATTTCCCATAACCAATGCAGACCCATCCTCACAAGTTCCACCCTGCCACATCCTGAGATCTCCACTGGAATGTGCAGGAAAGAGCAGACACGCCGGGGTAACAGTCCTGGTCTCTACCCTCTGGGTGAACGTAAAGTCATTCCATTTACAACACGTCTCCCTGCTCTCTATTCCCCTGCCCTTCCCTCTGTAGACCCACCCTGTTCCTGCTTGTCTGGAAATGGGAAGACCAGGTAGAGACAGTCTCGGAGGCATTGTCCCCTGTGTTCTTCTAAGGCGAATAAGAAAAGCTGTCTGCCCTGGGGAAGGACAGATAGAGACCTCCCCTCTTCTCCCACACGTATGTCTTCAGTGCCTCCTGCATGTAAAGCAGACCCCAGTCTCAGGCTGAAAGGCATGCCCTGGGCTGAGGAGCCCGTCTCCTTCTCACAAGAGCCCTTCACAGGTGCACGGCTGTGCTGGGGTGCTCCTCTGCCTGGCGGCAGCTCCCAGCTGGGAGTGTCTCAGGGATTTCAGGAAGGGGAACTGGTCGTGTGGTTCATAGTGTGTTTTACTCCTTGTCCCCAGGAGCAGCTGCGGGAGTTGGGAATCAGCCTGGTGAAGTTCTCACAGACCCTGTTCCTCTGCTGCTCTGTCTCTAGATACTCTTTAATCAGCTATGGTGTGAGCTGGACCTACCAGCATCCAGGAAAGAGGATGGAGACGGTAGTTATGATAAAGGGCAGTGGAAGCACAAACTATGACCCAACTCTTAAATCCCAAGTCAGCATCACCAGAGACATCTCCAAGAACCAAGTTTGTTTAATGCTGAGAGGCTGGAGAACCGAGGACCCAGCCATGTATTACTGTGGAAAACATACAGTGAGGGGAAGTCAGTGTGAGCCCAGACACAAACCTCCCTGCAGGAGGGGCTCAGGACCACCAGAGGGCACTCAGGACCACCAGGGGTCACTCAGGACCATCAGTGGGCACTCAAGACCACCTGAGGGAGCTCAGGACTATCAGGGGGAGCTCAAGACCACCAAGGTTAACTCAGGACCACCAGGGGGTACACAGGAACTGCTGAGGTCATCCCCTCACAAGGGAGGTGGCATAAGGGCGGGTTTTTATCTCAGTGCTCAGTAAACCTCTTCCTGACATGCGGACAGTACAAACAATTTCCTAAAAGCTGTGGAAACACAGAGATGTCCTCCCTTTTTGAAATAAACTCTCATACTTGTAATAACCCATCTGTTCAAGGACCAGGAACTAGGATAATTTTGACTTATATAATCATGAAAATAACTTTATGAATTTAGATGTACATTGATCTGCATTTCATACATGAGCAAATTAACCTTCAATAAGAGCATTCCTACTGATCTTAGGTATTCTCAATTTAATTTATTTAACTATTCATGCTATTATTTTATATTATTTAAAATTTCCCCTTGATGTCTATGTAGAGAGCTCATGTATAAATGGCCCTTGTGGTTGTTGAAAGCCCACAGTCACTCCATCAGCACTATGTCTCTCTCTCAAGGCTTCTCAGTATCTCCGAGTTCCAGTGACAGGAAAGGATGGTCTCAACACTTCAGTCCTGTTGGTCTTCTTGAAGGTCAGGGAGCCAGAGCACACTCAGGGGTGAGGGCACCAATGTCAACATTTACACGGGATCCACTCTTACAGGGTCTGCAGCCTGTGGGCCCTTTTCCAGGTGCATCTTTGTCTCCAGACCCTCATGCTCATCCACCCCATGAAGAGGAGAACATCCCCCTCACTCCACCCAGCTGCTCACGTAGCTCAGCATCTGCTGGCTCAGGAGAGGGACACACTGGGGTCTGGGACTGAAGGAGATGGAGGTGAGGTCAGGTGTCTTCTCCTCAACATCTCATGAGGAAGATGCAGTGGAATATTTCACCAGGGGGACGTGGTGTGGAGATGCTGCAGCCCAGGTAAGGGTGGATCATGTAGTTGTGCTGAATTGACATCTATTTTAAAATGAATTTGGGGTCTCTTTTGAAATAATGGAAGGTTGGAGCTTCTTATTAATTTGCAGTTGGTAGGAGACAAAGAAGAGAAGTAAGGGGTGATTTTATTTTTCTTATCCTAGGACCATGGCATATGGTCATTTCATTAAACACAATGTGACTGAGAACATATACTTGCATTTTACCATTGTATGTTCTCACGGAAATATATGTAGTTATTATCACTCATTAATGTACTGAAATTTCAACTTGTGCAGATGTCGTGAAAATTGCCCAGTTCCAAAAATACTCTAGTGGGTTTACACAGAGTTAAATGTATTCTTCCCTCCCCATTGTGAAATCCCAGCCCCATCCTACTGATGGGGTCCGTTGTCCCTGCCAGGAAGGTGGTTCTTTCCTTCCCTGCTCGTCTCTTACATGAGAACCTACATGAGCTGAGCTGCCCCACAGGGTCCTCAAGTGGGTCACTGGGCATGACGCCAGGTAGAGGGGAAGTGGGTGGGGCTGTCCCTACAGTGCTCCTTGCTCCAGAACCATAAAATGCCTGTAGATTTAGATAATGCCTGCACACTGCTGTACTGTGCAGTCTACTACATGTCAGTTATTCATCACTAAAGCTATTATGTGTAAAAAAGGGATCTTAGGTTAGAAAAGTTATAGGTAGATGGACAATAATGTAAAATTGGAGGAACTTCTGAAAATACATCTGAGTTGCTTCACAAGACATTCTCAGGTAAACAGTAGGATGCATAAAATTCACACATATCCTCATTACAGACAGGGGTTCTCCAAACCTCACTAGGGCTGCCCAACTCTGCCCTAGAGTGAGTTTAGGGGGCAACTGGTTCCACTATTGAAGTGCACAGGCCCAGACACTGGGGCTAATTCTCACCAGAATTGTGCCCATTGAAAACCCCAGAATCTGGGACTCTACCCTATATGTTGACATCCATGCACAGAGCTTCCTGTATAGTCAGAGGACATGCAAATTGGGCCCTCCCTCTGCTGATGAAAACCAGCCCAGCCCCGACCCTGCAGCCCTGGAGAGGAGCCCCAGCCCTGGAGTACCCAGGTGTTCCCATTCGGTGATCAGGACTGAACACAGACCACTCACCATGGAGTTTGGGCTGAGCTGGGTTTTCCTTGTTGCTATTCTAAGAGGTAATTTATGAAGAACAAGAGACATGGAGTATGTGAGAGGATGTGAGTAAGAGAATCAGTGGATGTGTGACAGTTTCCTGACCAGGATGTCTTTGTGTTTGCAGGTGTCCAGTGTGAGGTGCAGCTGGTGGAGTCTGGGGGAGGCTTGGTGAAGCCTGGGGGGTCTCTGAGACTCTCCTGTGTAGCCTCTGGATTCACCTTTGATGACTATGCCATGAGCTGGGTCTGCCAGGCTCCAGGGAAGGGGCTGGAGTGGGTCTCATCCATTATTAGTGTTTTTGATAGCACAAACTATGCTGACTCCGTGAAGGGCCGATTCACCATCTCCACAGACGACTCCAAGAACACGCTGAATCTGCAAATGAACAGCCTGAGAACGGAGGACACGGCCGTGTATTACTGTGCAACAGACACAGTGAGAGGAAGTCCCTGTGAGCCCAGACAAAAACCTCCCTGCAGGAGGGGCTCGGGACCACCAGGGGGCGCACAGGCCCTACACTCAAGGACCATCACAGAGGCAGGTGCAAATGGAGGTTAAGGAATGGTTTCCTGTCCTGCCTTCCTTTTCATGTAACAGTTTCCTCAAGACAACCTCTCTGGATTTGTGATTCTGTGCTTACCTCTGTGTTCTCTGGTTAGAAAACTCTGTTGTAATAGAAGGAAAACATTCTCATATGGACCAAAGGCAGAGTCTCTTACAGACGCACCTGTGCCTAAACTCCAATTAATTATCAAAGCTTCTGAAGTAAGTCAGGTAAATCTATGAAAGAGTTTATGTTAACTCCACAATGCAGCACAGCACAGCCCAGTGTACAACCAGCCAGCAAGCAGCAGCATAATGTGTCGGCCGGACATCAGGCAACAGAGGCATGACGAATCCAAACAAAGAGAAGAAAGACCCCAGGTAGTGGTGGTCCTTGACTTGGCACCACTCTGATGGCACCAATAGAAACCGACACCATGCAAAGACAGAGGAATCCCCACCATAACTTTGTATGGATGTCCACGTTGATAAATGCGACAAACACACCTAGAGAACATGAAAAATTTTATCACCTCCATTATTGCAGTGTCCGCTGAGAGCAGGGCGGGCCCCCTCAAGCACATCAGAAATGGTTTGGTAGAGCCCGGGAAGGGTACCGGCTCAGGGTTTTATTGTGGTTCATGGTGGGGGAGGCGAGAGTGTGCTGCTCACAGCAGGTCTTGTGTGATTTGAATCTCCTTCCACCATCAAAGGAGGGAGAGCCCATGCTTTCTTATCAGATTTGCCAGGTGTGGGCAGAAGGAGAAGAGGGGGGAATGAGCCTTAATGTATCCACAGCCAAACATCAAAAAATAGTCTGACTACTTATTCCACTTAACACCTATAAAAACTGAGTGAAAAAAAGAGATAAATAACAGTTATAAGTATAAAGCAGTTTGAATCTATAGAACATGAGAAGAATGATTATTTGTAATCAAGCTGAGTAATAATGAAATAATAATAGAAGTAAACAGAGATCTTGGACCAATGTCTTGGGTGGAAGCTGTCCACCATCCAAGGTCATCAGCTTGTTCTGAAGGTTGTGGGTCTGCTTTCTCCTCCAAGGATCAGAAGCTTCTGCAGGGTCTATTAGAATACTCAGTTTGAGGTGCTCTGTTGGAGTAGCCTTCCAACTGTATGGAATTATGAACCGATTCTTTCGTTGCTACTATGGCTGAACGCTTGTGTCTCCAGAAGTCACATGTTGAACCCTAATGCCCTGTGTGGTGGTATTAGAGGTGGGGCCTTTGGGAAGTGCTTAGGTCACGGGTTGGAGTCCTCATGGATAGGATTGTTGATCTTATAGAAGAGGATGGAGGAAGCTCTTTTGCCTCTTCTTCCTTGAGAGGCTACAGTGAAAAGACAGTGGTCCAGGAAGAGGGCTCTCACCAGACACCAGATCTGCTGGAGCATTGATCTGGGACTTCCCTGCCTCCAGAACTGTGAAAAATAAACGTCTGCTGTTTATGAGCCACCCAGTCCATGTAAGTTGTTAGAGGAGCCCACATGGGTTAAGACAATTTCCTAACATGAATGCGTGGATTGACACATTGGAGTTTCACTGCTGCGTCTGTTGTGTAAAAATACATGAAGAGATCCCATCCAGTGAGCTTCAAGGACAGGGCGAGGGGAGGACTAATCACTGGGTAATCCACCCAAAGCCTGCTCTAGGCAGACCCTCCAGGTGTACCAGGTGTACCCATCATCACGGTTCCACTAGAGACGCAGATCCAGGAGGAGGCAGGATTTCCCACAGGGAACGGGCTGATACAATTGTGGGTGACTGAGCAGTGAGTCTGTCTCCACAACATATGTGTGATCTGAGGTCCACAGGGCAGGAGGTCAGGAGGGAAGATGACCCACAGAATGGGGCCTTGAGGATGGAGAAACCCGAGTCCATCCTGGTGACCAGGTGTCCTGTGGAGCCCACGGCATCCCTCACAGAGCCGACTTCCCTCACCTGCTGTCTGCTGCTGCGTCCACTAGGTGACCCTGCAGAGCAGCCTCACCTGAGTCAGCTGACAGCATTGCTGCCTCCCCTTCCTCCAATTTCTCAGGACTCTCCCCTCCCACCGATGTGGGGGTCTCCAAGTGTCCTCTGCTGCAGGCCCAAGTGTGGTTGGGGATGATCCTGAATTTGTCCTCAGCCACAGCACCTGGCTCATGCACCTGGTGGTGTCTGCAGTGTCCTGGGCAGCAGGAGTGGCAGCACAGAGCTCCCGTACTGTCTAGGCCTCCTGGTGTGGGGGACTGAGTCCCAGTGCCCAGCCTGGGTTTGAGGCAGAATCGGGCCACAACTCTTGGTAGATGGTCTGCAAAGCAGCATTGCCCAGGGCCCTGTGTATGGGATGGAGGATGGGACACTGTTGCAATTGTCTGAGTCCTCCCCAGGTCACAAGCAGCACATCCTCACCCCACGGGGAGATCCATGAGACCCTCCACGGGCAGCATCAGGCTCAAGTCTGGAGTTATTTTAACCAGGCCAGGAAAGGGATGCATCTCCCCAGCTGAGGCTTTTTAAGTGCAGCTATTCTGTTCCAGGGACCTCAGAACTAAAAGGATAAGCCAGTGCCCCCACAGAGCCCACCTGCACAGGTGAGACAGGGACTTGATGACCAAGAGAGACGCCCCCACTGGAGAAGGGGAGCATCAGAGGCCCACCCCACACACTGGTCCACAGGGACTCTGACCCTCCAAGCTCGCTTTTCCGGGTCCCTGTTCCTGCGTCAGCCCCTGCTTCTGCTCCTGGGGAGACTGACCCCTCCAGTGCCCTCCGTGGCCCTGCCTTCAGGGCTCCTGGCTGTGCCCTCTGAGAACGGGGACCAGCTGGGTCTGTGGGTCTATTGAGACCCTCCCTACATGTCAGGGGCTCAGTGTTGGCGGCACTGACTGGGCTTGTTTGGCCCTGGGTCTGACCCTCCAGAGGACAAGCCTGGCCCCTTCTCACTGCAGCACGTGCAGGGTTCCAGGAGCTGGGAGAACAGACAAACCAAGGTGCGTGCACTTTCCAGTCTCCACTGGCATCGAGTCTCTTTGTTCTGTTCAAAGGAGGTCACATGCCCAGGCCTAGGTCAGGGTGGCGCACTGTCCATGAGCCAGGGATAGGGATGATGGGCAAATCTGGGGCCCATTAGCTCTTGTGTGCGTGTGTGTGTGTGTGTGTGTGTGTGTGGACAGTGGGTGTGGATAGTAGGTGTGGATTGGACAGTGAGCCCCATGGTTCCTATGAGCAAGTATCTCTGATGTGAGGATAAAGCAGAGGAACCTAAAGGAGATGGGAGCCTCCCCCAAAGGCCCCCAGGGTCTCTGACTCACCATGAGTGTGGACTGTGTCAGAGCATCTGGCAGCTCCAGGGAAGGGGCTCCCTGGTGGTTTCATAAAATCCTTGCTTGGGGTCTCCCTGCAGAGCATGTGGGTTTAGTAAGGCCATGTCACTATTTCAAGAGATGTTGTCAAAAGCATGTGGTGACACTGAAGGAGCATCCTGAAGTCAGGGCACAGCCATTAACACTGGACTGGAGACACCAAGAGGTAAGTGCCCTGTGATCTCAGACAGGACCCTCCATGCAGGGTGGGGGCTGGGCTGAAGGGGGCGCTCAGGACCACCCAGCACAGGGCTCTAGCCCAGGAACAGGTGCAGAGAGGGCTGGGGAGGGGCTTCCTGTGAGGGACTGGGTTTTCCTATTAAAAAATCTAAAGAGTTGGACAAGGACTGCTCAAGTGAGCATAAATAACTTACTCTACTGGGAGCATTTACCTAACTCCATAAGTCAGTGAGACCACACTCGAAGGGGGCATTTCTAGGGCTGCTAGTTATCTTAATTGTAAGGAGCTGGAAGACCGGGATGGTTTTATGAATTCAATGCTAGTAGCATTTTGGGAGACACTCTGATCCCAGGAATAAGATCTTCAGACATCAAAGCCCAGAACAGTTTCAGGTGATCTCTGTGCCATTCAAAGGTGTGTTCACAATGGGGAGCACGTCCTGTGGGGGCTTGTTCCTCAGTGGGAGGGGCTCTGTCTGCACAAGATCAGGGATGTGGCAGGGGACACATACAAACTAGGATAAGGACTTGGACGCTCAGCATTCCACAGAGCATGGTCCCTGTGTCATTGATCTTCTCTCAGGATGGTCTACGTCTTAAGTATGAAATAATTAGACTTATGAATATGCAAATGAGTAGAGGTATACTAGGTTAAATATGGAAATGTCTGTGCCCTCAGAGCATCACCCAACAACCACCCCCTCCCCTACAGAAGCCCTGAGAGCGCAGCCCCTCACCATGGACTGGAGCTGGAGAATCCTCCTCATGGTGGCAGTGGCTACAAGTAAGGGGCTCCCCAGTCCCCGGGGTGAGGAGGAGACCAGGGCCAGTGAAGGAGATTCCATCCTTCACTGGTGCAGTCGGGGGCTGAGGTGAGGAAGCCTGGGGCGTGAATGAAGGTCTCCTGCAAGGCATCTGGATACCTTCACTGAGTACTATACGAGCTGGGTGCGACAGGCCCCTGGACAAGGGCTTGACTGGATGGGAAAAATCAACCCTGAAGATAGTGCTACGAATTATGCTCAGAAGTTCCAGGGCAGAGTCACCATGGCTGTGGACATGTCCACGAGCACAGCCTACATGGAGCTGGGCAGTCTGAGGTCTGAGGACACGGCCGTGTATTACTGTGCGAGAAACACAGTGTGATAACCCACATCCTGAGTGTGTCAGAAACCCTGAGGGAGAGGGCAGCTGTGCTGGGTTGAGGAGCTGACAGGGATGATTAGGCTCAAGACTTTCTCATAAAATGGGGTTAAGGAATTGAGGAAAAGAACCAACAGAATCATATATTCATGTACTTCATGGGGGATGCTCCACACAATAATCACCCTGTGAGCAAAATGTAGGGGGTGAGTAGAAGCCCAATGAATAATGCAGATGGAAGCTTTCCCATGGAGGTTCTTGGTGTGAACCTGTATTTAAATGACTGGGGTGACAACCTTAAACCAGGACTGCTCCATCTGGTGAGAAGCCTAGGTGTACCTCCACAGGAAAGTGTTAAAACCCCATCCAGGTGGTTCTGCCATTTTGCATCCCCACCAATGGGTGAGAGTTCCTGTTGCTGCACATCCTCTCCAGCATTTGGTGCTCTCAGTGTTTTAGATTCCTGCCATCCTAGTAGGTATGCAGTGGTGTCTCATTGTTGTTTTAATTTGCAATTCCCTAGTGACCTATGATGTTGAGTGTCTTTTCATATGCTTATTTGCCATCTGTGTGTGTTCTTTGGTGAGGTTTAGATCTTTGGTCCATTTTTAACTGAGTTGTGTGTTTTCTTCTGACCAGTGATAAGTGTCCTTGTGTATTCATGGTACAAGTCTGTACCAAATATGCTATTTGAAAATGTATCTTTCTGTCTGTGGCTTGCCTTTAGATTCCTATAACACTGCCTTCCACAGAACAAGTGTTTTTAAATTTGATGCATTCGAATTTGTCAATTTTTTTCAGGATTATGTTTTAGTTTTATCTGTAAAAACTTGTCCACAAATCTTAGGACATCCAGAGGTTCTCCCATGTTCCTAAGTGAGAGCACCCTCAATGGATGGGGCTTAGCTCCTCATCCTTGGAGGGGAATTACGTCAGGTACTTGGAATTCTTCTCTGTGGGAGATTTTTCCCCTCACACAAGTGTTCCATTTCTTCATTTACTACTATCAGTATGGACTAATGGATACTTATTTTAACCTCTGCATTAAAATTAAATACTACATTACTAGTTTTGTTCATATTATTCCAGCTTTTTTACTCTTTGGGGGAACTTTGGTGTTGGCTCTTAGATCCTTTTGAAATTGCCTGTGATTTGTATTCTGAACAATTCCCTACTTTGTGCAACTACGAGATGCTCCAGCCTCATCTTGCATATTCCCATTCAAAGCTCTAGAACTAGCCATTTCTCTTGGTAATTATATTTTTTTTTATTGTGGAATGTTATTAGAAACCAAGAGTTTGGCGCTGGTGTGCTCTTTGCTACCAGGGTATCATTGCTTCTGTGACCACTCAGCTGGCAGACCAAAGCAATATATGTGTACATACTCAACCGTGTACATACTCAACCATATACACACAGATGTCTACAAGTATGTCTGAATCTAATCTTCTGAACCAATATTAAACTAAACTTGAGAACATCCTGGTGTCTCCAACCCTAATCCCACACCACAGGGACCTCTCCGGCCTTCCTTCTTGCCGTCTGGAACCTCCCACTCCAGCAGCGAGAAATCTGGCTCCCATCGTAGGCTGTTCTTTTCCTAGTTGTTCAGCTCCAGTGTGAACACGCCGTGGTTTCAGAGCTGTCAGCACATCCTCGCATGGACACAGCGTGGTCAGCTGTGAGACACAGCACTTCCCTCAGCCTAGACTCCTGCAGACCCCCTCCTGTAGGAGGAGCCTTAGGTCAGCACCTTGTGACCAAGTGAAATTGGTCTCCAGTGGCCTCCAGTGAAATTGTCTCAAATGTGTAATGTCAGCAGATATTTTATACAGTCTGTCTTCATCCTGAGATCCACGACCTCCCAAATGATTTTAAATTGTATCCATGAAGGTTCACTGTTTGTGCTGTAAACTTCTATGGCTTTTGGCAAATGCATAGCATCATGGATCCACCATTGCCATATCATACAGGATAGTTTCACCACCCTTAAACATCGCCCCTGCTTCAGTATTCAACATCCTTCCCAAAATTCCTGGCATCCGCTGATATGTCTATCCTAACTATAATTTCACCACCTCCAGAATGGTGTATAAGTGAAATCATACAGTATGTAGACTTTTAAGACTGGCCTCTTTCAGTTAGCAATCAGCACTTAAGATTTATTTACACAGGCGATGAATGCTCCAGAAAGGAAATGAAGAAAATATTCCATTTAAAATAGCATCTAAATGAATAAAATACCTAGGAATAAATTTAACCAAGAACATGAAAGATGTGTACACTGAAAACTACAAAACAAAATTGAAAGCAATTAAAGAAGACCTAAATATATGTAAAGACATCCTGTGTTCATAGATTGGAAGACTTTTTTTATATTATAAGATGGCAATACTCCCCCCAAAGTAATCTTTGTATGCAATGCAATTCACATCTAAATTCCAACAGCATTTGGGGAAAGTGAATCCTCAGATTTATAGGGAATTTGAGGACTATTCAATAGCCAAAACAATATTGAAAAAGCAAACAAAATTGGAGGACTAACTTCCTGAAATCAAAATTTTCCACAAAGCTAATATAACCAAAGCAGCGTGGTACTGTTGTATGGACTGACAAACAGACCAGTGGGATGGAATTAAGGGTCCCGAAATAAATCTATCCATCCATGGCCAATTGCTTTTCAGCAAGGATGTGGGGAACATGAAATGAGTTATCCTCAACAACTGGGTTTCTACATGGAAAAAAAAAAAAAAGGAAATTGTGCCCCAACATTACTCCATATACAAAAAGTAACTCAAAGTTTATCAAAGATTTGAATGTAAGACTTAATATCATAAAATTTTTGGAAGAAAATATACAAATAAATCTTCATAACCTTAGATTTGTCAACAGATTCTCAGAGATGACACCAAAACAAGAGCTACAAAAAGAAAATAGATACGTAAGTGTTCATCAAGACTAAAAACTGTTGGCATCAAGGGACATTATTAAGAAAGTGAAAAGACAACCTACAGAATGGAGGAAAAGTTTGGCAAATTTGATAAGAGTCAAGTATCCAGAATATATAAAGAGCACTCCCAACTCAAAAACGGTAAACCATCCACTTTACAAAGGTGAGGGGGCAAAGGGTTTGAACAGACATTGCTCTGAAGAAGATC